CAGTTACAGGACTGATTTTTTTTAATGTTTTGTTGTCACCAAGCCAATGCAGTTGTGCACCGGATGACTCCCAGTGATAACAATAATAAAAACTATAACTATGTGAAATTAAAGTATACCACAAAACAGGCATGCYGAAGTTTTTAGTGAAAGGATCTTGCTGATTGATGTTTTAGTTGTTCAGTTATAGCTAGGGTATTTGTGACTGTGTACACTTATAGTTTCTATAATCATCCTTTCCCATGATATTTTGCTAAATAGACAAGTTTTCACCTGCTTAGTATGGCTCTTGGTGCAGTCAGAACTGGGCTCAGCACTGGAAGAAAAACAAACTCAGTTCCCAACTCTGGGTGTTTTCTTTGGTTCTGTTTACAAAAGACTGAGCAGATGGGACAGCAGAGCTGAGGCCYGTTTTGGAAGAGCCTCATGCATTATTTTTCTCTGAGGCCATCACTAAAGCAGCCAGGGGAATACGGATGGTTAGTTAAGGATAACTTTTTAACATTAAAAGCATGTTTTCTCCTAACTTTTGAAACAGCAATCCAAGAAGTATTCACAATTTCTCTACTGGTGGTTGGGAATGTTTTAAAAAGCTTACACTGATCTTATATACAGTAATCCTTATGGTGATAATGCTGTAGGTATTTACAGTTTTCCTGGTTTGTAATCACGTGCTCAGAATGTCAGGGACTTCAGTGATCACAGATCAGTAACTGAAAACAAGTCCAGTGCAAACATCAGAGGTCGATTTCAGCAGCCCAGTGTCATTCACCTCTTATCTTCTCCCTGTTTTGATAAGTCATGCACAATAACAAGCACACACGRCAAAGACTGTAATGTACATGCAACTTACAGTATAAGAACACCATGCAGACGAGGACTACTTGTTTTATGGTGTGTGTGCCCCGTGGGTTCAGTCTTATCAGGGGAAAACATTGAAAAGCTGTTCAGAGGACATAGCTTTCTCTTATCAGCCATAAGCTGCCATCGTAAAGATGCTTTCCCATTGGCTGACATCTTTCTGTACCGTCAGCTAAGTGGATGAGCAAAAGTGCACATTCAGAGCAGAAAAAAAAAACAGAAGGATGGCAAAGTTTATGTCATCCTTACACAACTGCCACTTGTTGCTGATAGCATATCTGTATTTACCCTTGGGATGGTTTTTTCCAAGGTGATAAGGTGGGTCCGTATTTTAATTTGAATTCAGGATGGCAGGGATACATTATAGTCAAAATCCAAGGGCAGAAATGGTTGGACCCAGTAAAGTATCCTGAGGTGGGTAAAGTAAGGCCTGGTGTTCCACTTATTGTGATGAAGAGACAAAGATCATGGGGGAGCTGGGAGCTCCTGGGAAGCAACACAGAGGACAACACAGACAACAGTGAACAGGATGAATCCTCCTCCTTGAGGTCATCTTGGTCCCTGGTGAGTCCCAAATAACAGGTTTTCTACCTACTCAGTTTAAGGTAAAATGCTGGAGGTCTAAATGTTTAGTTTGCAGAGGTCTTTGACTTAGTGTTGTTGCTGAATCTAAATCTTTGGTGTCTTTTTTTAAGCTTCAATCAATATTATTTTGGTAGGTGAAGAGTGGGGTGGAAGGCGGGTGATGGAAACAGGTGAAGCACATTTGTCGTGTGTAAACTGAACTAATTATTTGTGTAGAATTGTACATCTGTGAAGTATTTCTCCACTTCTTTATAAATGTGTTTTTTTGAACTCCGTGGTTGTTCCACTTCATATGAATCTGCTTTAATTTGTGTCAACATGAAACTGAAAGTAGCTTCTCGTGTTTCTTGCTTAGTGTCTGTAATAACAATATCTTTTTTTCATCAGTGCACATTTGTGTTAATCTGATGGCACTAAATGATTTTGTGTGCGTTTGTATCACACACTCAAAAATACAAATAAGGGTGCAGATGTAATTTTGAAATCAAAACATTCAATCCTCAGTCGCTCCCAACGTCACARTGACACTGTGTAAGACTAAACTTTTATATATCATCAGTCTGCTCAACTGTGTGTGGCAGTAATCAAAAAATGCTGTTGTCATTTTCAAATAATATTTTCACACCTGAAAACCAAAGATGCTCAGAAAAATGTGCAGCCAATATGGTCTGTAATTTTTCTGAGTGTTCTTCTAACACCATTACTTCAGCAGGAGGTTTTCAACAATAAGTCTGCTCTTGAAAAAATGGAGGTGAAAAGTAGCATATGTCTAAAATGTTGTGGAGATGGGCAAAAGACACAAAGTGTATGTTTTTTTTTTAAACGATGGATGAATCTATTTGATTAATATTTTGTGTTACATGTTTTTGAATGGACCCAAAAATTAAGTGAGTACGTAAAAACAACAACGGATCAGCATAAAAGCAAGAGCAGTAAATCTTTGTAGCACGCATGATAACGCATAGTACATGTTGTCTCACTCACTTGTGTATCAAGCATTAAAACAAACCTCATTAATTATTTACTATGTAAGAAAACACCTTTGACTGCCCCTCAGCTATTGGCTCAGAAGAAACATCTTGTACAGATATCTTAAAATACTGATAGTCAGATGTGAAAACTTTAGATTTGGGGGCAGCTACAATTGTGAAAAACATTAGGACACCCCACTGAGTCAGTCTTATTACAAATGTTCACATATTGATGTGATTTAATCTTGTTTTATTTCTCTGGAAAATCAAATTATTTGATTGCTAGTAAACAATGAAAAAAAATCTTCTGATTAAACATGTAAACACAAACCTTGCACAAATTATTCTGTAAACCTACRTCCCACCCCTCTGAATTTCCTGATAGTGCTCTCATGGTGAAATTTTAGAACAAAAGGTCATTKTGAGATAGTAGCATTTCAAGTTACACAAGTGTGATGAATTCAACAGGGGGATGTGTTTACTGACCTCAGTGAATTAGACCCTGACCCCAACAAACTAAAACCATGTTTGTGAAGTTAATGTTTATACAGTATGCTTTGCAGTAACTTGAGTAATGTGGCTTCCAGAAAATATGACAGTTGGTATGATTTTTTTGCAAAATCAGGCTTGGCCTATAAATTATTTGCTTTAGTGAACTGTAAAAAAATGAACAGTCGAACAAAATATCAATTCCAAAGSTCTTATGATGTTTTGTGAAAGCCCTTGTTATTTTTGCCAAGAGAATATGGCTCAAGTGTTGTTGACATGGTTAGCTGAGAGTTGGTAATGTAAACAGTCAGCTGCTTCCAGATAGCAGAGCAGAGGCTTCTCTGTATCAGGTTGTCTCATTGTTTAGGCCCAGACATTTGCTTCTCTGTCTGATGCCACTCATGTGGGACAATGACCAGGGATAGGATGACAGTGACTCTCTGGCAGCACAAGTCCGTATAAAACAGTCATTACAGGGCAAATGGAAATGGGAATTACTGCACAAGCTCAATAAAAAAGCAATTCTCCGCACTGAAAAACACAGGAACTTTGTTAACATTATTTTTTCTTTTTTTCTTCCAGGCAGACACCATGAACTACGTGGGACAGCTGGCAGGTCAGGTTATAGTAACTGTCAAAGAACTGTACAAAGGCATCAATCAGGCCACTTTGTCAGGCTGTATTGATGTTGTGGTGGTCCGCCAGAGAGATGGCACTTACCAGTGTTCACCATTTCATGTGCGCTTTGGCAAGCTGGGTGTACTGCGCTCCAAAGAAAAAGTGGTAAGTTGATTTTAAAGTTTATTTATTTATTTATTTATTTATTTATTTATTTATTGTACATGATACAATTGCAGATTGTGCCTCTGTGAGCAGTATATTTTAGAACACAGGAATCAAAATAAAATGCAAACTAGCTGAGCTATTAAATATCAAAATGATCATTTCAAAATTTTAACACGGCATGCATAAGAGCCACATTGTACAGCAATGATGTGTGAGCAGTCCTGTTTTTACATGAAAATGGAGAAAAAACATTTTCTTTCCACCAAAATCAATAAATAATTATCAAACAAAGAATAGTTGTAATATTCAGTTTGGCTGAAATTCTCCATTCCTCAGTACTGGCTTGGGAATTTTCATTCTTGACTTGCATGAACATTTGTGCTCTCAAACGCATAAACCGTAACTGTGCATTTTCATTGATCTAAACTGGTTCTTTCATAATTAGTGAATGAAATTTATCCTTAATGAATATCTTCCCTGAGGTGTAGTCATGCAAGCTTACAATGCAACTACCCTTTCCTGATACCACTTTTTTTTGTGAATAATGTTAGAGCAATAAGATCACAAACTATGACTCACTGAAGACACTCTATAATAGTGTTTGCAGAACGTAGGTGTAATGTTCTATTTCCCTCTTTCAGTAATAGTGTTGCTATATTTATCCTTGCCTAGAGATACAGGCTATTTAATCATGGTTCTGGAACGGTGACTGTTATTTTTAGTGCTCACATCTCACATGAGTGGAGAAAAAAGTCTGCTTCTGTATTGCTTTGGCCTAATTGCTAGGAGGCAACAGCAGGATAATTTGACTTAAAATGCCCCAGTACTGGTAGGAAAACAATGGCTGTAGGTTGTGCATGAAAATATAAATTTAATTTGGGGTTTGTGGGAGGAATCCGCTTTTTATATAAAGTTTTAGTTACTGAAAAACAGTTTTGCATAATGGTAAACCAGAGTAGCTAACAAACTGTGGTGCACTGACACTGTATAACCACCTACCTGGAATGCTGATGAGCCTGGAGGAGAGGAATGAATGAATGGTTTCTATGACAACAGCCCGTACAACTTGGATGTGTGGGGGAGGAGGAAGAAACTGGGAGACTGACTAAAGAAAAAAAAAGGAGGGGCCTGTTGTATAACAGTTTAACATGTGTCCACAAAAATCTATTATTAGATCTAGGATGGCTGCTGCTTTTTTATGAAGGTTCTGCTTAGTTTCTGGTTTGTTCCTGAGATGCAAATATTTAATAAGACAGCTGAGATTCAGTTGGGATTGCCAGCCAACCTTCAGAAAAAATACCATTCATAGTCTGTCTGTCCTTCTAGTTTCTTTGGATTGTAAACAAAAATGTTTTTATTTTAAGCTTGGGCGATATTACACATAAAGAGTTAGTTTTATTTTTCAATAATTTTAATGAGTTACAACAGCTAATTTGGTTAAAATTGTCAAAGTTATGTCCTAATTTGAGGGTCTGTATGCACCAGTTTTTTATGCAATCTTGTAATCAATCACGGGGTTGGACGTGCACAACTCAGCCACTCAAGCGAGGGTGACCTCTTACTAAGTGGACGAAGAGGACCCATATTTGTTTGGTCTTTTATTAATTGGGCTTTGAGATTCTCAGCCACTACCACCACAAAAGATCCCCAGAGCCATTGTGAAGGGGTGAAGCTACATTAATGTTGCAGAAAGACTGCACCTGGATTGAAGTAGAACATGTGGAAAATTACAACATAAAAAATAACATGCAAGGCGGAAAGAATAGCTTGTTCTGATGGACATGAGTTTCAAGTTGTTCTTGATGACATGGTGTCTGTTTGCAAAGCATTTGTGGGTCAGAGCYTTCTATAGTCTGCCAGACATTACCTTTTTCCCCCTCTGGTGTTAAATTTCTGAATGAGCCTCAGTACACTGCGTGGATTTACACAATGGAAACTTAGAAGATTCAAGATTCTTAGGGTTTCTAAAACATTGAGAAGAAAAGTAAATGGGTTTTATATATATAAAACCATTTGTTTACTACACCATGTTGCATGATATAGTCGTTGCTAACATAACATTAAACCAAAACTTAGACTACTTAAACTACTTAGAATACAGAACCGTGGTCACAAACTCCCTCTGGCATGGCTCTTAGAGAGGCTACTACTTATTACCACTTATTACTCCAAACTCATAGACCAGGAACATTCAGACCACTGTACATGTACTCTAATATTGCTTCCAGAATGTCCATCTGTTATTTCCAAAAATTAAGCTATAACTTAGCAGGCTTAATGATATTTTAGCGTCCATGTTTGCTCAGAAGTGTCATCCTGCATCTTCTGCCTTATTTTCCAGATCGACATCGAAGTGAATGGAGAGCCTGTCGATCTACATATGAAGCTCGGTGACAATGGAGAAGCCTTTTTTGTCCAGGAAACTGAAGAGGAGAATGTAAGCATAACAAATACCACATAGTTAGAAAATAAAAATAAACTGATTTAGACTCTTTATGATAAATATCACTATATTTTATCGGGATGACTGTAGTAGTTTGTAAAACATGGGGAATAGTTTAGGCATTGGTACCTTTTTTTTTTTGGGGGGGGGGGGGGTTGTTTCAACATAAACAACTGCCTACAGAATGTCATTGTATTTACTCTTCAATGTTTCCACTTAAGCATTTATTATTCATATCCATCTGTCTTGCTTTAGCAGATAGTCCCTGCCCACCTGGTTACTTCCCCAATTCCCACAGAGAGTCATCTATTCTGGATCTCAGAAGTTGAACAAAGGGCGCAAAAAGATCCAAATGATGACCCTATTGACCCCGAGGACCCACCTGAACCTCCTGCCCCCAGTAATACAGCTACAAAAAAGAAGAAAAAACGAAGAAAGAAGCACAAAGGTGACCCCCGTAGAGAAGAGCTCACCCCACCAATGTCAGTCACCTTCGCTAACTCTGTTGCTGCTACACCTGCTGCTATCTCTAACAATGGGCAGAATGATGAAATCTTTGAGATGGACCTGAGCTCTGATGAAGAAGCTGCTGCACTTCTCTCGAGGTAATTTCAAGTCAAAAACTTGTTGCTGTTACTTTTAGTGGGGTTTTTTTTCAGTTATGAATCTATTAAATTCTATTTTCTTTTCTTGTTTTAGGTCGCCTTCAATTTCCACAATTCGTGACATTGACCCCAAATTACCTGCAGCTCGACCTAGCCTTGAAGGTTATCCATTGTCTGATGTTGAATGGCCAGCAGGTGAAAGGTATGTACTGATCTGATTTTAGAGCAATCAGCAAAAATGTAGCAGACACAAACACAAATTTACCTTGCTGATTGCGTTTTTCTCTCTCTSTTTTTTTAAAGTCATGGCTTGTCTCAGGCCTTTTCCCCAAAGAGTGATTCAGAACTTGTGATGAGTCCTTCAGAGAGTTTGCTCAGAGCCGAGTCCCACATGCAGTGGACCTGGGGAGAGTTTCCAGAAACAACTAGGGTAACAGTTCTTCTCAGTAAAATTTAAAGGGACTTATCAGCACGAGATAATTATGGTAACAAATTCTATTTAATATCTAGGTCACCAAGAAAGAGAAACCAGAACCACTAAAAAAAGTTACCATCACCCCTTCAGAGAGCACCCACTTCCGTGTCATCCTCAGCTCAGAGGCCATGGAAGCAGAAAGAGAGGCTGAAAAAGAAGACAATACTCCCTCAGTGTGTACAATAGTCAAACCTGAGCCACGCACTCCCATCACCACTGTAACAGCTGGTAATTCACTATCATCTGTCAGCACCTTAACCTCCACGAGTCCCATAACCCCCACGGAGCCTCTRGATGTCCTTACACCCAGTGTGACGACCTCCACCCCTTCAAACAGTCAACTGACTGATTCACCTTCTAAAAAGAAAGGTATATATCAGGTGGCTGTTAGTTTGGTAATCACTCGGTAAAYTGTTTCAAAAGTTATAWTTTTTTTAATGCAGGAGTCCCAAAAAGGAGTCAGCACCAGGGACCTGAAGATATCTATCTAGATGACCTGAATGTACTTGAACCTGATGTAGCTGCAAGATATTTTCCTAAGAGGTTTGATTACATAAAAGCACATATTTGCTTCACTTGCTGTGTAGTATATATATGATTTTATTTTTTTCTCTTTTTTCTGYATTAGTGAGTTCGAGGCAACGTCYAAGCATTGGATGGATTCAGAGATGSGCTCTGGTTCACAGTCTCCWCAGTCTGTGGGTAGTGTGGCAGCTGACAGTGGGACWGAGTGTCTTTCTGACTCAGCCAGTGACCTCCCTGATGTTACTCTTTCTCTTTGTGGAGGTCTTACAGAAAATTCTGAAATTTCCAAAGGTATGCAAGGTGAAATTMATCCTGAAGTATTTTTTTTATTACAGACTTGTGCTGTTGTATCACTACAGTTATCCTGCTGCTTTAGCTTCCTAAGAAGGCACTCATTTATTGTTGATGGAAGTTTTTTCATACAAAATATCAGATTTTTCATTACATTTACTTTTTTATTGTGTCATAGAAGCCTTAAAGATTTAATAAGTGAAATGTCAGATGCTACAAATAAAGATTTTCTGTTTTATTGTCTTTGTCACAGAAAAATTCATGGAACATATCATCACATATCACGAGTTTGCAGAAAATCCAGCAATTATMGATAACCCCAACTTGGTAGTAAGAATAGGAAATAGGTTTGTAACTTTATTTTCAAATACAACTAAACAATTTAAATGTTATTTTTTTAGTGTGATTAAACAGTTTAATTTTATTTCCAGGTATTATAACTGGACACTAGCTGCACCATTGATACTAAGTCTGCAGGCATTTCAGAAGAATTTACCAAAGGTAAGCTTTTTCCTGTTTTTTTTCAGTTTAAATTGGCTACAACCTCAAGATATAACTTTGATTTTTTTATGTTTAATAGGCAACAGAAGAGGCCTGGGTAAAGGAAAAAATGCCAAAGAAGTCAGGTCGTTGGTGGTTTTGGCGAAAGAGGGCAGACAGTACAGTCAAGCAGGTTTGCTAATATTATAAGAACTTGAAACAGAAATATATGGTAACAGCAAAATAATCTGCTGTTTCAAATTTTCAAGTCACATATTTGTTTGTGTGGTGCTTTTTAATCCAATTTATTACCTATACTGCAAGTCCGCACCTCTTCTGACCTTTTTTTTTTTTATTTCAGTCGGAGACTAAACCTGAAATGAAGGAGCAGTCTCAGTTAGATGAAGGACCATCCATATCTCAGGAAAACCTGCCTTTACCGTATGTGTTACAAGTAATTCAGTYATTTGAAAACCAAACTTATTACTGGATATATGATGGACTTGTTTGATTTATATTATAAAGTAACAAGAAGGTTATGAATAAGAATGAATAGAAGCAATTTTAGAAATGTGTAAAAAAGAAAAGCTGCATTTTTAAGTTTTAGTGTCAAACCTTTTAACCCGCATGAAATGTGATATCTATTTTCACTTATATGACCCATGATAAAGAATAAACAAATGTATCTTTTTTTTTTTTTTGCCGTGTAGGTCTAAAGCAGGAGACACTTCTAGTGATGAAGAGGCCAAGGAGATCAGTGCTGCATCCTGTCAGGAGAGGCTGCAGGCTGGAGACGGTCAGCACCATTCAAGCCCACACACTTAYAGGAAGTCACTGCGTCTTTCCTCCGATCAGATAGTAAGTAAATCCCTGGTAATGAGTTTTCTTCCTTCTGCTTTTGTTTTATACTAAAACTAGGGCTATTTACTGTGTATTTAGAATTTTTATTTATTTTTATTCTGTGTATTTTTAGATGATCTTTGATTGTAATTATAATAGTTTTATCAAAATAACTTACTGCATTCATTGGCAACAGTATTAAAAAAGTTCTTTTTAGAGCTCCATCTGCTGGTTGGTTTTAAGATGCATTGTTTCTGCTTCACTTGCTGTCAGTAGGGGGCTCCAAAGACCTGTATAAGTTTGTTGTTCTGTAGCAATGAAATGACTAGAATAAAAATATCTTGTTTATTATAGTTACTTTCAATAGAATCCTTTATGTTTTTCTTTGTTTCCAGGTCAGCCTGAAACTAAAGGAAGGGCCAAATGATGTGATGTTTAGTATTACCACTCAATACCAGGGCACATGTCGCTGTGAGGGAACCATCTACCTGTGGAACTGGGATGACAAAGTCATTATTTCTGACATTGATGGCACCATTACAAAGTAAGGGCTTCCAAAAACACTGAAGCACTGCATGTAAAGTACATGAACGATCTTGCTGTCCTGTATGTTGGATTTATTTTCTATAAATTAATTTCTTTCAAGCACCTTCCATTAGTTTCCTGCTCACAGCACTGTATATCGTTAGAAACTGAATAAACACTTGTTAGAGCTTTTTGCATTTTAGCTTAAAATGTTGGCTCTAATTAAAAATGTTTTTTTTGTTTACCCTTCTTTTGTAAACTCATTTAAAAGTTGATCCCAGTTGTTCCAAATGCAAAACAGAGTGTACAAAGAAAAGTGAACATTTCACAATCTTTTAAAGAGAAAACATACTAATTCTTGGGAAAGTGTACTTATTCACTTTTGGTTTTTTTTTCTGTTTTGCTTCTATTTCTGTGTACTGTCATGAACTTTAATGTTTCACAATCTAACTAAGGCATGTGAGGGTCTGTCATGTACTACTTTTTTTTATTGTAAGTTTCTCTGAACATTACACAATCTGACCTGAGGGAGAACCTGTTGGGACATTCACTCATGGACAGTTTGGCAGCTCTACTGAGTGTTTTTCACTTGTGGGGGAAAAAAAGTTCTTTGTGTAAAATTATGTACATCCAAACAATTCTCAAATGGACAATAAAAGTTGCTTCTTTGGGATTGTTTATATGTTTTTCCTCCTGCACAGTGTCTTTAAACATGTGAATGCTCCAAATCACCAAACTCCAGAAAACATTGTTTTCTTAGCAGCTCAAACAATGTATTTAATTGGCATAACCTTTTAATTCCTTTGGTACCACTGACAGTATACTTCTTTTAAGGTGCTGCCTTTTAGAGTTGTTTACCTTCTGTTTTTAAAATCTGGTACTGGACAAATGAATTTTATCTTTGCCGGTAGGTAAAATCTTGAAAATATGTTTGTGTTTCCATAACCATATCTGGACACAATCACAAATAGTGACAACTGCATGAGAAGCAAATGACCAACATGTAGGAAAGAATGTGAAGCACACACACTCACTCGTTCACCTGCAGTAAATACTCCAGAATATTTGCTGCAGCATTCACATATGGTCCTCCCTGCTGCTCTCCCTGTTTTTACGAGACGCCTGTGTGGAAAAACGCCACAAAACATCCTGAACAAAATCAGTTCAACTTTGCAGTCACAACTTCAGAGCATATCTAGAATGTTAAGGACTGTACATAATTTGTGTGGGGGGTATGTTTTACAAGTTTAAAGAGTTTAAACGTCCTTTATAGTTTTCTGGCCAGTTAAAATCCCTTAAGTTCACATTATAAAAGCATTTATGAAGAGCAAAGTGTAGTTCTGTTCATGTAAAACTTATAAATTATCTGACACAGTTACTCTTTTCAAACTATGCTGAAGTCTATAGCTTTTTTATCTATTCTGTCGTTTCACATCAAACGGGTCCATACAGACTGCAGTTTATTATCTCTGCGACCCTTTAGGCCAGCCTGTGACGTGGCACTCTTTGAAAAAGGTTGAAGAGCACAGGGATTATAATGAGCCCATTTACATTTTAGTGTGTAAATGCACACAGCCACGAGCTGAAGGTGAGGCAGTGCCCCCCTCCATGGGCTAGTAAGCCTCATTAGCAGAGAAAAGCCTGTAATGCTCTGTATTTCTGATTAAATGGTAAAGTCACTGGGGTGCTTTTATTTGACCTCTTCTGAACAGTCTGAACCACAAATCTGATATATTAAAATTTTTGCACATTTACTCTCCGATTCAACATCTGTTGTTCTGACATTTTTGAGTGATGTACCTCGCTGATGGAGATATTTTCATCACTGTTTAACACTGTTTGTGTTTGTTTTTAGGTCTGATGTGTTTGGACAAATTCTGCCACAGCTGGGAAAAGACTGGACCCACCAGGGCATTGCCAAACTGTACCACTCTGTAGCTGAGTAAGTGCACAAAGACAAACTAAACACACAGAAAGACTGAATGGAAAATCTGAGGTTAGGAGTGTCTGTCTTTGATTGTCAGTGAGCTTTCTGTAGTTTGTTTTTCCCCCTCATGTGTTTTGTGTGGGAAAATCTAAAATGGATGACTTGTTAGGTTTAATTAAAATCAAGACAGAATTACTAAAAAAAACCAGCTAAAATCATCATTAGCCAGCTTTTTTTCCCCAGAAGTTCTAGATCTGTTTTTCTGTTTTTAATTAAAAAAAATAAAATTGGACATTAGAGGAATTTAGCAACCAAAAACATCTTCATTTTCATTTTACAGGACTTTATGTCAACACATTATGACTGCAATTAAATGTAATTACACTAATGAAACTGTTTGTTCTATAATTTGTTGTTATTGTCATGATATTGTCATTTATTAGAGCGATCACTGTTGGTACTTTTTCTTTCATTTACAGGAATGGCTACAAGTTCTTGTACTGCTCAGCTCGGGCTATCGGCATGGCTGACATGACCAGAGGTTACCTGCAGTGGGTCAATGACGGAGGCACCATCCTGCCACGAGGACCTCTCATGTTATCTCCCAGCAGCCTCTTCTCTGCATTCCACAGGTACGCCATCATTTTTCTACTGTCGCCTGTTTTTATTATTTCTAAGTTCATCTTAAACATTTAAATCTTTATTCCTAATTCCATAACTAACCCTTTCTTTTCAATATTCTCCATTTGTATTGTAGTCATTTGTTTTTCTGGATGAGTGGTTATTTTCAAGTATTTGAATTTTCCTAAAATGTTTTTTCTTTTTTGTCCCCAAATACTTACTATCAACACAATTTATTTTAGTTTTCCTGCTGATCCTGTTTACGTGGAGTTCTGTAACTTTATCTAAAAATATTGTTGACACRAGTTTGCTTGATGGCATTGCAAAAATTATTCTGGCCTTCTACCTTCTGATTTACATTTGCATGCAAGAAATTATTATAAAAGTCATTACAGAAATGCATTTGCCTTTTCCATGTTCTGCAAAAGTAGCTGTAATTCTGTTTGCAGTTTCCTTGAGTAGTGCAGAGCTGTGTTTTAAAATTGCAGATTACAACAAATGGGGTAAAAACTTGAAATCCATACATTCTGGTTACTTTAGCAACAGTAGCATGTTGCACCTTTTTCGCTAGACAAAATATTTCTCTATTTTCTTATAATTATACAATTGTGGCTCCGAGTTTCCTATCAATGTGGGTGATTTTTAAAGTGATAGTGATTTAAAAGGAAAAAAAAATAATTAAATGAACTGATTAAAGTAAATAGATATTTGTCCAGATTATTTCTTACTCTGTCTGGCTCCACAGACAGGTCATGCAAATGTATGCACCTCTAATAAAACTGTTCATTTCAGGGAGGTTATTGAGAAGAAACCAGAGATCTTCAAGATTCAGTGCCTCACAGACATCAAGAACCTGTTTCAGCATAACAAGCAGCCATTCTACGCCGCCTTTGGGAATAGAACTAATGTGAGTTAATGCATGTTTGAAGAAGTCAAACTGCCAGACAAAGTGCTCAGGTTTTTTTTTTTTTTTTTTACATGTCAGTGAGGTGGGTTTTGTATAAGCTGATGCACTCACTGGGATGTCAACACAGCTCTTTGGCTATCAGATAGCAGACACAAATCAGTACAGCGCTGAACCTGAGCTGAGATCACTGGTGAAGTGAGAGCCCATGTGACTTCGTCTGGGGAAGGGAGCACAAGTTGGGCACAGCATCCTATCTTCAGCTGTGTAAATACCCAAAACCACATGAAGCAGCCAGAGAAACTCTCTCTATAGCACCCCCCACCCCCCAAAAAAAATTGACAATCACACACACAGTCTTAGTCTTGTCCATTAAAACATTTACTTTGGAAAGGTGGTGATTAAAAGGGAAATCTGTGGTTAGTGTTATTAATGCACCTGTGTACGAGACTATTCTGTAAGCATTATATGGGTCAGAGGTAGTTTTTGAAGACTGGCAATACTCATTTTTACTTTAAGTTGCAGTTTCAAATATATTATCTACAAAGACAACTTGTTTTTTTTTTTTTTGATAAAAATAAAAATATAGTTTATAATCACTAATGTTTTTACCACTCCCTGTAGTTTTAATGGGTGCACTAAGACTTTATTACTGTCTCCATTCAGGATGCGTTTGCCTATAAGGAGGTTGGAGTCCCACTATGTAGGGTCTTTACAGTTAACCCCAAGGGTGAGCTGATCCAGGAGCAGACCAAAGGCAACAAGTCCTCGTGAGTAGTTGTTTATTCTTGATTGTTATTTTGTTTGTTTGTTTTTTGTGGTATAGATCAGTTTCTTAGGCACAGTCAGACCTAATTTAAAAATTGCATCTTAAAGRGATCCCCGATTACTTGTAACATTAGACTTTATTTAATAAACGTATATTTTAACTGTAAAATAAAGACTGTAAAAATACTGTAGGATGTTTAGCTTTTATAATTTTTAAACTAAAAGTTTAAAAATATATTACACAGACAGAGCCATTTTATTTACATGCAAAGCATTCTGGGTAAATGATGACATGGATAGGTCATCGGTGTGAGGCTGCTAGCGAACTAAATCCACCCTGAAGGTTAATCTTGGACAATATCTGACAATTGGCTCTTTTAAATGAAACCAGAGAGCGTTGACAGAGAGGAGAAGGTAGAAATGACTCAGCCTGGAACTGAAAATATGGATGGAGGACAACAGTTTAGCTTGTTTGTCACGCTAGCACTGAGCTAATACATATAAGGCAATACAGCATTGGTTCTAGCGCAAAGGCTAACAACAGGCTAAGCTGAGGTTCTTCTTCCATGAAGCAGCTCTGTTGTCCTCCATCCATATTTTCAGTTMCAGGCTGAGTCATTTCTACCTTCTCCTCTCTGTCAACGCTCTCTGGTTTCATTTAAAAGAGTCGATCRTCAGATATTGTCCAAGATTAACCTTCAGGGTGGATATAGCTCGCTAGCAGCCTCTCACCGATGACCTGCCCATGTCATCATTTACCCAGAATGCTTTGCATGTAAATATAATGGCTCCATCCATGTTAATATATATATTTTTTTAAATTTACAAAACTAAACAGCCTACAGTATTTTTCCAATCTTTATTTTACAGTTAGAAATATGTTTATCAGATAATGTTTAATGTTACAACTAATCGGGGATCCCTTTAAACAAACTCCCCAAAAAGAAACCTGGCTGTAATGATGACCTTTATCATTTATTTCAGTACAGAGCAGATGTCTCTCAGTAATGTCCCTCTGAACATACTTCAAGAGTCTTAAATAAGTTTCTTATCAGAGACTGCTTTCCTTAGACATCTTGTACCCAAATATATTTTATTATCTTATATCTGCACTTCCTTTGAATCTCTATCGTTTCTACAGTTTAAACTGTTTTGTACTGTGTTGCCCAGAGAGTCTCTCCTGTAAGTTGCTTCTGAAAAATAAACGGTAACCRTTTCTCCTTTCTGTCCATAGTTATGGGAGACTCAGTGAGCTGGTGGAGCACGTGTTTCCTTTGTTGAGTAAAGAGCAGAACGAGGCTTTTGTGATGCCAGAGTACAGCTCCTTCTGTTACTGGAGACAGCCGCTACCAGAGATCAACCCTGATGAGCTGCTCTGACTGTGTTTGGTCATCCAGGTATACGTTTACAGGACAGGACTGGAGTTCAGCTCTTGAGCACACGTGGACTGAGACCCATAGCACTTAGGCATTCACAGCTCTCCAGTGTGTCTGAAACAGAAACAGGGTTACAAGAACAACAGACAAACTTGAACATTATAAAGCAAAACAAAAATAAAGAATACTCTGGCTGAGCTGCCACTGTATTRTCCACTCTATTTAATCCAGAGCTCTGGTCTGTCTGACCTTGACTGAATTAATTATTTCTTTTTCCAAGTTTGTGTCAGGCAGAATGATTGTATTAACCATCAGGGGAGACACAGAAGAACTGCATGAGGTGCTAAATTTTGAGTTGAGATTTTACTTTAACACATTTCGTAAACACCTCCCCAAGAAGCAAAACGTGATGTTAAAAATGAAAAGGCTTGGCTGTTATTTATAACGAGAGGCAGTTGACACCAGAAGGAAGTGAARTTATATGTATGTTTGCCAAAAATGCAAGTATTCACCCTTTTTAATAATAATTTAAAAGTAACCTGKTTGTAGTGGCTGGCAGATTACAGATTACACCAACCATGAGGCTTATACTTGTTAATTTCCAGGAGCCTACTGTAGCAAAGCAGCTTTAAGAGTTCAGTTTCTGGCTTGCATCCCTGTTGATGGAAAAAAAAAATTACAGGCTCAATTTCAGAGTTTTGAATAGCATACACAATGAGTCCTATTTGTTTTGTTTGTTTTCAATTTGAAGAGAACACAAAATATGCCGAGTATGTGAACATCCACACTTGACTGAGATTTGTGGGTCAAATGAAGCAGCTTTCTATCGTACTGTCTAACTGTTGGGTTAAGATGTTTTCTGTTAACAATGCAGTAATTATTTATGATAATTGAAATGTTAAGTTATTGATTTCTGTCATAAAGCCTTTGCTGCTTTGCAAAAGTAATTATCACCAGTCTAATGGAGGGGGTGGGAGATGCTGATGGTATTTTGTGTAGTTAAACACATTAACGTGCACTTAACAACAGCTGGGGATTGTACAACCCTCCTGTAGTCACATGCACCCCAGCAAACCGTTCTTTTGTTTTGACGTCGAATCTTTAAAATGTAAGGCACATACATAATGCCTAACCTCAGAATCCACAGCTTTAGTATTAAAACATATGTAAATATAAGATATGACTTTTGAGTTGTAACAGTAGAAATAAGCAGATCTGAAAGGAGCTTAAACTGTAGGATTTCTGTTCAGAAAGTCCTCTGGTGGAATAAAATAAGATGATGTATGCGTGCGTGCGTGCGTGCATACCTAACCGCTGCTGTTGGGGGTGACGGTTTCCTGCAMCTCCTCTTCTTTCTGTCCCCTCAGTTACCGAGACATGTCATGCGCACTTTGTGTAAGCTGCACCCTGAGACGCAGCCTTAAAACTCAGCACACCTTGCACCCACATGCACTTCATTGACAGTCTTACGACAGTTTATCAAAGTATGCAATTATGGCAGGATAAAGAGCTCTAGTCTGACCTTTATGACATATCAGTTTTATCTCAAATATGTTCAAATGAGTGATTGGTGGAAGTTTTTTTTTTTTTTTTGAGACAAAAGGTGAGGTTGGTAAGAGCATGGGGAAGACATGAAGGTAGTATCACCATAGCTTCAGTAAGTGTGTGTTTGTGCATTTTCATTTGGTATGAAAGAAAGAGACTGACTGCGTGCCTCAGATAAACAAAGGAAGAGAGTTTAGTTCTTGTTAAAACATAAACAGGAAATGCATGACTCTGTCCAGGAAGCTCTTTGAAGCACTGCCTTGGCGTTTATGTATGACTTTGGAAATGATCCACAAAGATAGATTATATCTCTCACACGGGTGTAACGTGATAAGATGTGCTTGACTGAATAAGTATGATTGAGCAAAGCCAGTCAATGGGCGAAGGGGGAAACAAAAGCACAATGACAGCTACTTCTAGTTTATCTCTTAGTTCTTTCAGTCATGTTGATGCATTTGCTTTGTCGCTCTGCTGATTTGTGGATTAAGATGTTTTGCTTCGCTTGCTTAGCTTGTTCTCTACAAAGTTTGAAGTTAGATTTATCTTATAATTAATGAAGAATTTAATTCTTTCTATGAAAGTAAAGCATCTTGTGTGAAAGACTCACACTATCCTCTATTACCCTTAAATATTTGGTATGTTCTCTCATCTGCGGGAAATGATCTGGTATATATGCTGATCACATTTTTCAGTCTTGTTGCCTTTTTTGTTTGTTTTAAATGTATTTGATCTTTTGTGGAACTATGTTCTGTTTGGATGTAACGCTTGCTATTTGATTGTGTCTGACAAGTAGAAAATACCTTATATGTATGCTGTTTGATTTGTATTGATGTGGTTTAAAGTATGTTAAAAGAAAATCCCTTGTGAGAAGAAAACAGGCCTAATGAAGCTCGCAATATGTGTCTTGTGGTCCTATTTGTATTAAATTTCTAACTGAAWACATTTGCATCTGCCTCTCTCTTCAGTTTGAGTCAAAGTCAAGAAGTTCAACAATAACCACAGGCTCGTGGAGTAACTTTTACCCTGGTGTTTGGTTTCAAGGAACAAGGAAAAATCTTACGGTTGTTTCGAATTTCACCTGACTGAATATCACAAATATTTATGAAAACAGATGTTCTAAGAACAGTTGTATTATTTTTTTCTTTCCAATGATAGCTAAACTAAGGAAAGAAAAGTTTTGTTCAAGTTTGGATATATGTTTTTTTACTTTTAGGAGTGGCGTGAAAGGAAAATTTTCCTCCGCACCTACTTCATATAATGGCCCATTTGGGGATTTTGCCTTCTAACATTCTAGTTTTAGAATAAAAAATAAATTCTAGTGTTTCAATTTTTTCCACACTTATATGGCTCAAATTGTGTACCACAGCAAGAGAACATGCACTTCTGCTTAAARTTTTCAAATCACAGTTTATTTCTTGACCAGTACAAAAGATCACCAGTGGTTGATTTGCATTAAAAAAACGAACTTTTAGAATATTGTCTGATAAAAGATAATGGCAATTTCTGTATTTAATTGTTAAAAACATTTGTACAGTCATTTACAACAGATACAAAAAACAACTCAATTTCATGATCAAATATATTAGATACAAACCCTGCCTCACATTTAGCTTTCTCGCTAAAGGCTTTCAAACCTCAACGTAACATTTTAAATGAACCTGTAATAGAATCTTCAGAGTGACATTGCATGTTCGATAGTTAAATCACATCAAATCAGTGGAAAAATCGGCTGAACATTCGATCCAGTCCAAAAATCTGRTAACAATTTAGTCCTCGCTGTAGAGCTAAGCTCCAGCTATCTCCTGGCCTGCGGTCCGTACAGGAAGATGGCGTTGTAGGTGGAGAGGACTTCCCCGGTCATAGTTGTGGCCAGCTGGCCTCGGGTCTTCACCAGACTGACCCGATCCCCTTTCCTCAGTGGAAGTATCAGATTAAAGGAGACGGTGCCGCCGCAGCTGCAGGTTCCATGATGACGATCGGACGGGCCGGCTGAGCTCTGAAGCCTGTTCACGCTGCGGTTRGACACGGACAGCACAGCCTCTATTCTGTCGCCCTGCTTCGCTGTCAGCAGGCCTGAGATCAAGTATCGACCATCTTGTGGTACAGTAAAGATTCCTGTTGATGGAAGAGTACAGGTACGTTAAAGTAATCCTCACACTKGTTAAATACTGATGGATTCAGTTTAAAGCCTGACACGTTTTCACTGTCAGCCACGCCGTCACACCTGGTCACATTTCTGTAACAATGAAGGCAAGCTTTGTATTTTGTTTTTAATCCTAAATAAAAAACAGTTTGGATTATTTCTTTGATGTAACAGTGCTTCCTGGCAATCTTATACAGTTGGAAAGCCTGTTGATTTCTCTTTTATATGGTGCCACATTTGTAAGGAATATGCAATTGTAGGATGAGCTGTAGAGCTGAGTATGTGGGCTGCACACATGGAAAATTTGCAAAGTTTTCTCTGCCAAGCAGCTTAATTTTCTGTTACCATTGACCAGAGGTCTATAAAGTACTTGGGGGGGGGGTACTTTTACACACTCTCTAAGAAATAAACTGTTGAATTTGCTGAACCAAACTGGTTCCACTAAGCCAGGTTGAGTAAACTGATATGTATATTTGCTTAGTTTACTCAACCTGGCTTAGTGGAGCCAGTTGATATGACTTTGTTGAGTAAATCCAACACTTCATTTTTTAGAGCACAGAAACCTCTTTCATGATGAGTTCGAACATATTTAATTTTGTAANTGACACGTTTTCACTGTCAGCCACGCCGTCACACCTGGTCACATTTCTGTAACAATGAAGGCAAGCTTTGTATTTTGTTTTTAATCCTAAATAAATACAGTTTGGTGGATTATTTCTTTGTTGTAACAGTGCTTCCTTTTACACACTCTTAAGAAATAAACTGTTGAATTTGCAGAACCAAACTGGTTCCACTAAGCCAGGTTGAGTAAACTGATATGTATATTTGCTTAGTTTACTCAACTAGGCTTAGTGGAGCCACTTGCTATGACTTTGTTGAGTAAATCCAACACTTCATTTTTTAGAGCACAGAAACATCTTTCATGATGAGTTCGAACATATTTAATTTTGTAACGAGTTACTGTTTAAATTTTAAAGTAAAGAAGTAAAAGTATATTTTTTTAGCTTTAAAATGTAACGAAATAAAAGTAAAAATAGCTGTTTAAAAAATAATTGGTAAAAATACAAATCCTTAAAAAAAACTAAGTACTGTAACGAAGTAAATACATTTAGTTACTATAAACCTCCTGTTATTGATGCTTGTTTTGAGCTTCCCCCAGGTGTTGSCAATTGCCAAGAAGCATTGTTACAACACAGAAATAATCTACCAAACACAGATTTTATGTAGTTAAGCTTATATGTAAGCACTGTTGTGCGACGTTATGACCTGTCTGGATGAGTTTAGGCCCCCCGCGCACAATGTCCTGTTTTATGGCTAACTGATCAGAGATCTACATAAAGCTAATGTAAATAACCTCAGACTATTTATATAAAAGATGTGTAACATAACTAAGCAACTGACTGCTATAAACTTACATCCTGGGGAAAAAAATAAGTCTAATGTCAACACTCTTTAGCTGTGCTGGATCTTGGATATTTTCTGACATTTTCTCCAATAAATGCAGTCTAAACCTTTTTGCTTTTCCAAAACAAGACTTCTCAAAATCAATGATCTCAGGGTTGAACCAGCAAACTACTTTTAAAAGTCAACATATAGTTCACATTTGCTTGGATCCTTCAAACAGCTCAGTTTGAGTGTAAAATCACTRTATAAATCCATGAGAATAATTTCTTCTTTTGCCAACGGGTTGCACAGAAAACTGTTAGTTGTGATCTCGACCTGAAAAAAAGGTGGCCTTTTTCTGTGTGGGGACAGGTTTCCATCCAGGCTTCTGCAGCCGCTTTTCAGTGTGGATTCCAGACCACTTAGAAACTCCTATTTATCCACATACCTTGCTGCAAGTGACTCCTTTCACATTAGATGTGATGATGGATGTTTTTTTCCCATAGCCTTGTTTTTATTTAACAATATAAAGAAACGGGCAATGTGGGGGAAATAAAAGAGCCTGGAAAAGCTCCAACAGAGAGACAGAGGGGATGCAGACGGTCATAATAAACACAAAATCTGTTTTGGGTGCGTGGACGTACCTGTCTGGGGACTGTAGTGTCCACCGTCGTTAACAAGCACCTTGTTGAAGCGAATGATGCCAAAATCTCTCCAGAAAGGCGGCTGATGCGTGAGGCCGGCGGAGAAGGAGAAGGGATCTGCAAAGATCCTGTTGTCTACTGAAACTAGATGAGAAAAATCAGGTTACTGGTGAAAAGTGAAATACTTCACGTGCTCAATTTGTTTAATGGGACAGTAATAATACTTAAATTAGAGCTCACACAGGTAAACTGCAAACATGCATTTGGATTTGGAAAGAGTTTTTTTGTTTGTTTTTACCTGGTGAATCAGATGAAGCTTGATGCGTTGGGTTCCAGGGTAAATTTGCTGCTATGAGATGAAAACACAATACATGTTCATTTATTCTGCATCGTTAGGTGAAATCCAGAAAGAAAACAATTAGTTACACTAAATCTCATTCATATCTCTTGCAAAATGTTCAAAATTAGTATACAGTTTCATGTATTACTGAGAATATTGTGTAACTTTTCATTTCAACAAAAAGCCTCAGCTTGTTTTATTCACCACTTTTCAAACCAAACTAAACACGCCAGCAGAACTTGRTACCGAGAGCCTGCAGACGAGTTARAATCCCTCCACAATCTGCCCACACTCACTTCAACCAAACACGTCCAGTTCCCACTCCTTCGCACTTCTAAGATACTAATTATTCCCAGCTTTTTACCCTGATGTAAAAGAGAGGTTGGAGAAGCAGGGAAACGTGAACAGCTACAGTACCTCCCTGGGCGTCTGGCTGAGGTGGGAGAGACGAAGCCTGCAGAGGAGAGTAGCCTGGAAGAGACGGAGGACAAACACATTGTTTTATCATCATCTGAAGAGAAAGGCCAGCGTGCGATTGCCAGAAGCAGTGCGGCTTTTCCATCTGAATATATTAGCAGAGAAGCTATGAAAGTAAAAACAAAACTGAATGTCTTCTAGACTGAAACTATTTCAGAGTTCTCAGTTTCCTTATGAGCCTTGAATTGTACGGTGGAAACTAAGGAGGGAAAATGGAAAAATTAAAATGCGTATCTGCTCTCGTCACTGACGACTATTAGCCAGAAAACACAAGCCCAACTTTAAATGTAAGTTTTTTATATATATATWTTTTTTTCCCTTGGGCTAACTTTTCAAGCTAATTGGCGTTAACGTGTTTTCATCTCCCACTCTAACYAGGAACAAATGAACCAACGCAGGCTGTTCTCAACTTTTTTGACTGCCAAACAAGAAAAAGGCYAAAACAAAGCCTTTGTTTTGTTGTTTGATATTCTGTTCAAACTTCCTCTTTGCAGTCTCGTTAATTCAATCCAGAGCTGTCTAAATCTGTTTTCAGTTGCTCTTTTCTTGTCTTTGAATGTGGCATTCATTAAAAGAGGCCCGGGGTACGCTGTAGAAACAATTAATGCGGATCAAACGAAACATCAAATGCACATGTACAAATAAAGCCTCGCTATTGGTTTCACATGTCAAACAGGTCTAAAAGGTAAAAAAAGGAAGAAAACTGCTCAAGTTCGTAATTCAAGTTGTGAGAGGTTATGTTTAAGCGAAGGGGTGGGCGGGAGTTTCTTTTTTTTTCTATCTAGTTTGCAGTCTTAACCCGACATCAGAGAACAGTGCATAACTTATTCTCAACTGTGCTTTTCTTTTCCTTAAATTAGGCAGTGATTCACTGCATGCGTCATAATCATTTCAGTTTCCTTTTATTTTCCTTTGCACGCTTTCCAAATCTAGCCCAATGAATTAAAAAAAATGTTTTTTTAATGTGTTCAGCAGTCACAATCTTATACTGACACTCTAAGAATAAAATAAGCCGTACTTTGCAGTTAAGATGGATGCAATCAGCACTAAAATTGTTGAACTGCAACTGAGTAATGAAATACTCAAGATTATCCAGGAGTTGCAGAGCCTTAGCTTACCTAGAATTAAAAGTTTTAGGTATAATAGAGACAGAGAGAAAAACAGAGAGAGAAGTAATTAGAAAGATAGACTGAAATAGCGATTAGAAATATATTAAATACTGTATACACCAACAAAACACAGGACCACACACCCAACATCTGTCCGCTCACCTGAAAGTTTTAGGTTATCATTTTTGTCTGAAAAAAGAATGATCAAGACCGGCTTTAAAGATTGCAGGAAGACCTAACTTTTTGCAGGAAACATGCAGATTAAATGAGTGGGGTTTTAAAGTTTTGTGCCATTCTGTATAAGGCATCAAGTGGAAAGAGATGCAGCTGAGATTATTGTGAAATGTAAGGTTTACAGTGAGARAGGACACCAAACGTCTGCACAGCTTTGGTTTCAGCTTCACAAGAAGACCATATTTGAGATCAAGACGCTGATGGATTGGATGACAAAAGCCCAAATCTATAAAAGTCTCTGATCTAAAGCCATTAACTTTATGGATATTTTTGTTTGTTTGTTTTTGTAACTTAGATTGTGACTAATTAGAGACTTTGATGATCTGCAATTCTCACCCGGCGCGCGAGCGAACCCTTTCAGAGTGTTGCTTGAAGACTCCTCGGACCCTCTGCGCACGGTGACCCTGCGCATATATCCTGGCGGTCCGGCCTCTCCCGTCTCCATCACGGGTTTGACGGGCAGCAGAGTCGGGACTCGCGGCTGCTGCTGGGGGGTCGTCAGCTGGTTTGGCGACGTGATCCTGATGGTGTGGACGTTGGGCTGCGCTGCTTGGTTGGGACTGGACGGCGGCGGAGGGAGGATGACGGGGATGTGGATCTGCTTGACTCGGGTTCTRCTGTGAGACGAATCGGGCGCAGGAGCAAGTCCTTGGAAAGGAAGAAAAAAAAATGTTTGTCACAAACTTAAACTAGAGCAGATGAAAGATGCTCAAGGTAGTGAAAACAGGTGGAATCGCCCTTTAGCCATTTCTGAAGACTTCAGAGTTCCGATATCACCTGGAGGTGTCTCCGGTGAGCACACACTGTTTGAGTGTCACAAGGTTAAAAAAAAAAAACAATCGCACCGTATCAGAACTTTCGCACAGGTAAGGCAGATTTTGTTGCATTATATTTACAATGCATAAATTGTTGTGCCTTGTGTGAGCTCATGGGAGATATTTTTAATACATGCAGCAAAATTAAAGTCATTTTCTTAAAGGGATCCCCGATTAGTTGTAACATTAGACTTTATTTGATAATCATATATTTTAACTGTAAAATAAAGACTGGAAAAATACTGTAGGATGTTCA